CCCTACACACATGATTTAAAAATAATAAAATAATTAAAGATGGTGACAGGAGCCTCTTCCTTCTCCTGTTTCCCTGCACTTACTAGATGGATGCTCCCTGCTTACTAGAGATATAAAAGGTGAAGGGTGTGTCCAGTGCACACGGGGAGCTACAGCCATCTTACTGCAGCCTTTGATGAAGAGATCTACCATGTTTTAAAGCAGAATGAAAAAAAAAACACAAGAGAGGTCTCAACATGGGTCCCGGGGCCACCTAAGGACACCTGCCACTGGGACTCACATGATTGGAAAATCAGTATAAATAATCCATCAATTAAAACAAGTTAGTGAGCAATTAAATATACATCTACGTCTAATGTCTCACTCACAAACCAAATGCAAACATTTTAAAAGATAATTTTTGGAATAAACATAAATAATAACTTGGAGAATAGGAATAAAACATTCTAAATTTCTCATTGAGAAAGGAGATTTAATACATTATTTCAGTTTTTTAAATGGTTAGAAGGGCATTGGGTTAATTCACCTCTACCTGTAAATTTAGGAGGCACAAACATTGAGTCCATGATAATTGTTAGTTTAGAGGTGACATAAAAATTTAAAGATGATCTTTTCTGAAAGGCTCTATAGTTTCCAAATCACAAAGGATAAAAATAGCCATGAAAAATGAACCAGTGTGCTGGGAAGATGGCTCAGCTGAGGTGCCTGCCAGGCGGGTGTTAGGATCTGAATTCAACCCCGGCACACACACTGAAAGCCAAGGGTGACAGTACACATCTGTAGCCCCGGTGCCGGCAGCTGGAGACAGGCTCCTTTTGTACTCACGGGCAGCCTCGCTGAGTCCCTGAGCTCCTGGCTCGGTGAGAGACCCAGTCTCAAAAATAAAGAGGGGTGTGATGAAGGAAGACACCCAGTGCAAACTGCTGGACTCCCTATGTGCACATGTGTACATACTCCACACATACATGCACACAACACACACATCACACACCTATGCACAACACACACGTATGCACATGCATGCACACACAGGGGCATCCACACATACGCATGCCCACCAGCATACATGACGAAAAAGAAGTAGAAGCAAAGATTGAGTCTAGGGAAGAGAGTGAGCACGGACACCTGTGTCACTCAGTGCAGACACTGAGCACAGTCAGGAGCTCGGTGTGAACGGATGCACGCGGTTTTCAAAGTCAAACAGACGCCAACCGGCCACAGAGCCAAGAACTTCCTAAGGTGAGAAGTGAAGTGGGTGTGAGAGAAGAGGAAAGAAACCAAAGTAGTAAGTCTCTCATTGTTTGGTAAAGAACAGACACACACGTGCGTGCACACACATACACATACACACACACATACACACACATATACACATACACACACATACACACACATATACACACACATATACACACACATGCACACACATACACACACATATACACACACATACACACATACACACACATATACACACACATACACACAATACACACACATACACACACACATACATATACACACATACACACACACATACACACACACACACATACACACACATACACACACAATACACACACATACACACACACACATACACACACACACAGTAACAAAAAATCCTAGTGTGTACATAGGAACAAAGTCAATAAGGGTCATTTCTTGCTGGAAACAAAGCCAGGAAGAAGAGCAGAGTAGCATCTTTAAAGGCCTGGAGACAGGCTGCCAACCTAGAAGTTTATGCCAAGGTCGGCTCTCTTGGAAATAAAGGGGAGGGCGGGGCTCAGTGGCAGAGGCTCCTGCCGCCAAGACTGATGACCTGAGTTCTATCCCTGAGCCCCACATGGTGAGAGGAGAGAACAGACCTCCACATGTGCACTGTGGCACTCTCACCCATGAAATGAACACACGCAAAAAATAAAGTTGATTTTTTTAATGAAAATTTTTTTTAAAATGGGAACGTGAAGAGAAATAGGGAAATCACAACTTTAAAGGAGAGATTTTATGCCTCTTCACCCCCACACCAAGTAGATAAAAATATACCTAAATATGTACATACGCACTCATGCACATGGGTGTGGTGTGTGTGTGTGTGTGTGTGTGTGTGTGTGTGTGTGTGTGTGTATAGCAGGTTGGATTAATGTAACAATAAAAATATATTGGTTTAATGGACATGAAAATAGCCCATAAACAGAATACACATTCCTTTCAAATGGCTATGTGGTAGTTTAAAAAAAGAAAAAGAAAAAAAGGAAAGAAAAAGGACCAGCCACTAAGTAAAAAGCAACTACCTTGTTGGGCCACCAGCCCGCCCAATTCACTACCACTACCCAAGATGCCCACCAGATGGCAGCAGCTCCTTGCTTTCCCGGGGTTTCGTTCTTACTCAGAAGCTTCCAGTTAAGTGGTCATGTACAGCCTCTCTTTTCTCACTAGCAAAAGGACTAACTGAAAACAATGAGCTTCCTCACTCATCTGAGAACTCAGAACAGACTGGAACAGCACACATTATCTGGTACCCAGTGGGGGCAGTCACCCCAGTGGCCCCAGCTCCATCTAGACGGTACAGGAGCCAGGGCCATCCATGGCATGGGCTGAGCCCTTAAGTCATCTAGGCCGGGCCTTAACTTCCTCATCTGTACAATGGAGAAATAATACCTATGGTAATCAGACCAAGGGGAGCCCGGGGCAGAGACCCCATTGCTGCCCAAAGCCCTGGGGAGAGGCCAGGTCACCCTCTGAGAGTTCCCGAGAAGGCAACCTTTCCAAAGCTTGACCTCAGGCTTGCATAGGAAATGCTTTGTCATGAGGGGAAAAGACAATGTCCCCTGCCCTTTCTGGTGTATTCCAGACAAATTGGCTGAGAAAGATCAAAGCCCATTGCTTAAATTGATCTACACATACCAGGAGTCACCGCAGGGGACCTGGATCCTGGTCACAGACTTCACGGTGAGCCATCTAGATCTCCTCTCTGGCACTGACAGGTGAGTGACCAGCCCAGGTGGGAGCCACACTGGCCTGACTGTGCTGTCACTGTCCTCTGGTGCTCCTCCTTGGAGGGCCACGAAAATACCGTCACATCCCCTGGGGTGACCCAGCTCTCGGTCCACTTTATTTCCTGCAGATTGCATTTGGGGATGCTACTTCTGGGGGCACATAGGGTGGCCCCGGCATCCTGTTGGTTGGCCATGTCCCAACGCCGTGGTTGTTTCTGGGAGACTTTGGAGGTCAGTGTGGCAGTTTTCCTCTCTCCCACTATGGGCAGTAGTATTTGTTGGCATGGCCTCTTGCTCTGAGCCTGTGGACTTGCTGTCCTGTCTGTGAACATCACCCAGACCCACCTACTCAGCTTGGAATACAGATAGGACTGGGTCTCTCTCTCTCTCTCTCTCTCTCTCTCTCTCTCTCTCTCTCTCTTCCTTCCTTTCCTTTTACTTGTTTGTTTTACTTTTGGTTTTTTGAGACAGGGTTTCTCTGTGAGCCCTGGCTGTCCTGGAACTCACTTTGTAGACCAGGCTGGTCTTGAACTCAGAAATCTTCCTGCCTCTGCCTCCAAGTGCTGGGACAAAAGGCGTGCGCTGCCGCCACCACCCAGCT